ATTCATGAAAGTTGAAATTTTCATGGTTCTTTTTGCAGCTTTTGTAAAGGAACCACTTGGTCCATACTTGTCAAAATATGTTGATTTTTTTATTTTTCCGGTAAGATATGGTCCACGTTTTTTTTGTTCCAAGTGTGTGTTATCTGACCAAGTCAACTCAAGAGCTTTTTTTTCGTTTAATAAACTAACTTCATCATCATCCCACCCACTATCATTTTCGTCTCCCCATTCATCCAATTCATCAGATATCCTTGATTTTTTTGTAAACGTTCCATAGTTGTTTCTTTCTTGCTCTTTAGCTTTGGATTTTTGCTTTGATGGACGAGTCATTGATTAATGTGTGGGAAATTAATTGAAATCGGTAATTTTCATATGAAATTCGCGTAACATTAGGTTGGATATATTCTGATCTTGTAACGATATATTCCGATCTATGAAATTCACATGATGATATATCCCCGATCTCAGTCCGAAATTTTCCTTTTTTCATATAGATCATATAAATTATTCTTGAACTTTCGAACTTAATAGAATTAAATTTTTCTAATAAATCTTAAAAAGTAAACCGTTAGAAATGTTTAGCTTATGCTATTATATTATTTTATCGGTTTCAATTTGTATTTTATTACTTAATACCTGACTTATAAAAATTTAAAGTCACATGATATTTTTGTGGTTTATAGGTGAGACACACCATACCCTTATCTTTTATTTGTTTTATTTTGAAGATAATTGCAAAAAGAGATTAAATAAAAATTTTTTTTTTATATTTTTCAATCGATTGATCATCCTTTTAACCAATTATAGTTAATTTACAGCACAAATTTATGTACACGTATGCTAATTAATTTTAGCTGGCATTATAAAATTGGCTAGAATTATAAATCTACCGATAAAATACGTGAAGAGTAAGATTCATAAAATTGAACATGAGTGGCTAAAGAATTGTGAATGAACAAAGAAACACCACCAGATGAACGGCCATGTTTGGTTGAGCCGAGATCAGAATGAAAGGAGGAATAATCTTTTAATTCGTTTAGATGGGTGTCAACGACACCACCAAAAGAAATATGTTGTTGAGTGAAAAATGAAGAAATTTGGTCAATCTTAAAAGAACCTTGGCCAGGAGTTTTAAAACCATTAACATTAAAAGAAGAAATGTTAAATAAGTCAGGGATGGGGGAGGTTAAAGAGAAAGAATAAAATAATGTATCAGATAAAGGATAATTAAAATTGTCATTATAAACTACGGGGTTAGGGGGATTGCACACAAAGGTATCATATTCTATATTATTGTTCATCATTAATGCATCATGATAAAAATTACGGGGTGAAAAGGGAGGATAACAAATTAATCAGACGAAGTCTTATTGACTAGGTCCAAGGAAGAGCCACCAGAAATGGAGCTAATAAATCTTTCAATAGAGCCGGATAAGTGATCAAATTTGTTATTTAAAGATCGTTGAAAGGAATAAATTTCAGCATGTTCTTTATTAATAGTATCTTCATCAGCAGTTTCGGGAATGGGAGAGGAGGAAATGTTGAAGTGGAAAGCAGAGGCCATTGGAGGAGGGAGAGCCGGGTCAGAAAAAAACCTAGTTGAAGTGGGCGGGTTAGATTGTGTTATATAAGGGGGTGCTTTGGTGATTATCAACTAGCATGTGTGGGGAATCATTAGGATCAGGTGTGAGAACATCATCTTGCTTATGTCCAAAAACACGAAGTTCCAGCTGAGACATCCTTTGGTCAGCTAATTCAAGAGCATGTATTCTAGCACGTACACTAGCCATATCTTCTTGAAGGCTTTTAAGCACTGAAAGGATCTCTTGAATTTGGGAGCAATTGACATCGACCAATGGGGGATTGTGGCCAGATGAGTTAGGTGCGGCGGTAGTATGACGCTGGGAAGTGGAAAAGGAGACTGAACGGTCTTTACCTTTACGCTCATTAGATCGAGAACACTGAGCAGATTGACTAGGATTAGTGGGATCAGCAGAATTAGGTGAGGAGGGATTGTTGATATTGTTATTTTTCCGTCCAGTATTATTAGCTGAATGGTTATGCTGTCGAGAATTGGAACGATCTTTGGATTGAGAACGTGAGCATTGTCTACTGCGATTAGCAGAAGAATTATTATTATTAGATTGGCCAATATTGAAGCGTTCTTTTAAGTGTGCAATGGGGTTACGAGTACATGAACGACCTCTAGAGTTGTTTAAAGGACATGCAGTGGGGCGCAACTGAGTTTGCCGCATCTATGGCAAAGCTTGTTGGTATTCTCTGGGAGTTCCCATTGGAGTCTATGACCTTGTAAGGCAACAGACTGTTCCATCGCAGAGTCCATCATTTGTTGTGATTTAAAAGTGATGTAAGCCCATCTTTTAGGTTTGTAAGAATTGAGGGACAGAGGAATATTAATGGCCATAGCACCAATTGCTCGTACCAAGGGCGCTAAATGCACATCTTTGGTGTTGGGAGGGAGCTGAGACAAAACAGTGACAAATTCACGACATGATTTCTTTTGATCAAGGGTAAGAGAACATGGCATAATGCGTAAACAAGTGGAATAACAATAAATTGCTCACTGCTTGTCAAAGAAGTGCTGGATGGAAGAAGCGTCATCGTAAACAATGCGAGCTTGTTGGACTTTTGCATTAGCACGTGTATGAAGATGACAGAATTGTATGTTGCCGTATTTTTTGAAAAGAGCAATAACATCTTCTTTCTTGATGAAGAACGGGATATCAGTGACTTGGATAGCACAAAGATCTTCATCAGTTCAGAGTTGCTGTGGGTCGTGTAGGAAAAATTGGAGATCGGCAAGTAGGGATGGTAAAGTCCTAGGTCCTGGACCTAAAGACTTGGTCTTAGGACCTGGTCTGCAGATCTTTAGGTCTAAATTTTGGACCAGAAGCGGACCAGGTCCTAAAAAGTCCTAGCCAATAAGGTTATAAGAGATCCATATGTTTAAATTATATATATAATTTGCTGTAAATTTGATTTTAAGTAATTATAAATTATAAAAAAGTGCATTGCAATATTGCAATACAATTTTTATATTATTAAAGTCATATAAAAAATGAGTTGTGATATTGCGATTCACATTTTTATATTAAATCATATAAAAAGGTGAATCGCAATACCGCAACTCACTTTTTTTATATAAAATCAATATAAAAAAGTGAATCGCAATACCGCAACTTACTTTTTTTTATATAAAATCAATATAAAAAAGTGAATCGCGATATCGCAACTCACTTTTTTTTATATAAAATCAATATAAAAAAGTGAATTCCAATATCGCAACTCTCTTTTTTTATATTTAGTTATTACTAAATTCATAAAATCTATAAATAACTTAATCAGGACCAGGTCCAGGGACCAGGTCCAAGACTGGTCCTAACAGGACCTGGTCCGCAAGTCCATTCAATAGGACTTATAGGTCCCAGGACCAGGACCGGACCAGGACCAACCTAACCATCCCTATCGGCAAGATCATCATGTCAGAGAGAAAAGCAGGCATCACGTTCTTTGGTCGAATTAAAGTGGATAACTAATCTTTTAAGGTCACCAGAACCAGAAATGCGGGCACAGCCAGTATATGAATGGTAAGTTTCTAAAAGGAGGTTGTTGACAGCATCAATCATAGCGGGAGGAGGAGGAGACGCATCTAGGGGGGAAGTTTCTTTGTCCTTTGGAGCATGCATGGACGTGTCTGTACCAGACATGACAGAATTAGGCGCAGAAGGCGCAGCAGTATCTTTGGGAAGAGGATATGAAAAATTGTCAGCATTATTTTGTTGAGGAGGAGTAGTATTACTTTCTCCAGCATCTGCCGCTGAGTCGGTGATGAAGTCTTCTTCCATGGAGTTTTTAGAGAGCATACGGGTACGTTTGGAAGGGTTGTTTTGTTTGTCTTTACGCTTAGCAGGACTCCCTTTCGGGTTATTGCCAGCTTTATTAGCACTTTTATTAGTCATGGTAGTAAAATATAAGGTTGTGTTAGTACAAAGAGTAAAAAAATTTCTTCCACGAAATTTTTGACCAAGGATCTACAAGAAAGAGTTGGCAGATCGGAATCTAAGTCACACTTTCAGCAAATTGGTCCATTTTTCAGGGGTTCAAAAAATCGTTTTTTGTAAATATCTCGGCATCCAGTGGTCCAATTTTGATGAACTATTTTTTAAATTGTAGAGCTAAATGAGGGCTACAAAATAAAAAAAAGTTCATTAAAATTTAATCACTGAATGCTGAGATATTTACAAAAAACGATTTTTTGAGTTTCAGCAAAAAGGGTATTTTGGGCCAAAAGTCCATTATGATCTTTATATTAGATATCCGGGGTCCTATTTTAAGCTGAAAAAAACGCTTTCATTATTGAAACTTTAAGCAAAACAAATATTGTAGAAGGAGTTGGATAAAGAAAGACTGAAAACATTTTACTGGATAACTGATAAACAATAAAGTGCTAATTTTTTTATTAAAAAATTAATTTTAAAGTGTATTTTTAAAAAAAAATCTAAGAAAATGAAAATGTTCAGATTTTATAAAGTCGTGTAAAGATGTTATGTTATTTTTATCGTTTGACTTTATTTATTATATGAAAGAAAGTGGGAAAAAAATGTGGCAGAAAAAAAAAATGTAGTTACCTTTAAGGTTACTTGCCGAAACCTAGGGGTTTAGGCAAGATGGCGTTTTGCCAAAAAGTGAAATTCTGCTGAAACTATATTAAAGTTATATTAAAAAACTGGCAAAACTTTGGAAAAAGGCGAAACTGCCAAAACTTATTATAAATGCTGAAACTGCCAAAACTCTGCCGAAACTATAATAAATCTATAGTAAAATTTTGACGAAACTAATCGTAAAATTTTGAAGAGGTTTAGACAAGCAACCTTAGTTACCTTCCAGACCAATTTTGATCGTCACATGATCATTAGTGATCATGTGGCTCTACCCCGCTTAACAACCCCCCAAAATAGGTATTTTTTGAAAAATTCAAAATGTCAAATTTTCAAATTGAAAATCATAGGATGGTCTTACAATTTTGCAATCAGCTGTAAGGAATTGAATAAACAGATTTTTAACTTGATTTTTTACTAGTTTTTGAAAAATTCAAAATATCAAATTTTTAAATTAAAAAATCATAGGGTGGTCTTACAATTTTGCAATCAGCTATAATTGATAAATTATTTGCAAAAAATATCTATAATGAAGAGAATGTATCTAATATAGATAGTAATATGATATAATAGATGATTTGCAAGGTCAATAATATTTATTAAATTTACACAAGTCAAAGAGGCGCAATTATTGCAGAATTTACCATTTTCCATTAAGGACAATTGTGACACTATAGCGCGAAATTTTTGAATAATTTTAAGACAATTATAGCTGATTGCAAAATTGTAAGACCACTCTATGATTTTTAATTTGCTGTTTATTCAACTCCTTAAATAAAAATAGAAATATATCATGATTCAATATAAATAAATTACTTTATTAATTTTAAGGAGTTAAAGTTATTACCAAAATAGGTATAATAAACTTGCTTTTTTACTAATTCTTAAAAAATTCAAAATATCAAATTTTCAAATTGAAAATCATAGGGTGGTCGTACAATTTTGCAATCAGCTGTAAGTAATAATTTAGTGAAATTTTAGGATAATTTTAGACATAACATTTTCAAAGATAATTTAGTAATAATTTAGTGATAACAGTTCAACAATTTTGTACAATTGAGTGTAAACGTAGCATATTTATGACAATTAAACAACAATTTAGTGATAATGGTTTTGATAATTTTGTACAATTGAATATATTAAAACGGGTTTGATAATTTTAGACAATTAAGTGTAAACATAGCCTTTAACATTTTATTTATCAAAATGAGTCAAACGACTACAGAAAAATGTATAATTTATGACAAGTAGCAGGAAGAAAAGTAGAGAATTATGAATCTTCTCTTCAAGCTGTATTTAGAGACATATTTTTATTTAATAATCCAGCTTTTAATTGTGATGTATATTTAACTAAAGTATCTGATTATCAAGAATTACAACGAACAGAACCTGAAAAACAAGGAGCTTGGACAATTACCTCCTTTGAACAATTCCAATTTATGGCAAAATATAATGAACTGACTCCAATATTAGTTAATTATTATGACACTATCCTTAACCAATTGATTAAAGAAGAGCCAGCATATCTAAATCAAACCCTATGAAAAGTCTTTATACTTAAAATATACTTAAAATAAGTATCAATTTTAATTCACGATATACTTATAATATACCTAAAATGTATCTAAAATACTTTTAAAATATACTTTTAATGTACTTGTTTTTGTCCAAGTACTTAAATTATATTTAAAATATACTTAAACTAAAATTTAAGTACAATATAAGTGTATTTTTTGCATGTTTAAAATATTCTTAAAATGTGCTTAAAATATACTTAAATTTATACATGCTGCCCAAATTATTTTGGGATGCCATAATTATAATTTGGGATGTTGTAATTCATTCAATTTATATATAATTTACTATGTAAAGTGCCAAGATAATTTGGGATGTCATAATTGAATTTGGGATTTTACTTATAATTACGGCAGCCCAAAATAATTTGGGTGGCATGTATACTTAAATTGAAATTTAAGCACATTTTAAGAATATTTTAAACATGCAAAAAAAACACTTATATTGTACTTAAATTTTAGTTTAAGTATATTTTAAATATAATTAAGTACAGTCGCCACTGGCTATAACGAACCTTCTGTTCCAAGAGATTTGGTTCGGTATATAATGAATTCGATATGTAATATTTGTGTTATATACCGAACTGTTCGGTATATAAATTTTATCCAATAAAATTATAGATCATGATATTTTATAATTATTTTAATTTTATAACGTACTACAGTAATACAATTTTATTTAATTTTGTGCGACAATATTAACTTTAACGTTTATTCAAATAACATTATTGTATCGAAAGTAATGAAGATCAACCTGTTTTAAATTTTTTACAATCAATACCTTCACTTTTTTATGCAATCTCCTTAAAATTTTCAACTCTTCATTTACTTCCCCGAATTCTGGTCCTTGTTCATATGGTTTTATCTATAGCCTTTTCTACCTCTGTTGGACTTATTTTCTCCATTATATGCGTTAATTCAATCTCATCCACCACATTTTCCTCTTCCCTATTTGCATTTCGAATAGTATCAACTATTTCATGATCAGTAAGCCCACCCTCTGGTATCTCGTCCTCAATATGAAGATATTCATATGCATTAAGATCACTTTTTGGAAACTGAGAAATCAACACCTCAAGTTCATTGATTTCTATATCAAAACTAAAAAAAGAATTGATTTTAAGAGTTAATTAAAAATATTTAAAATTCAAATAGTATATTAAAAAAATTTATACCTATCAGAAAGTACCGAATCATTATCATCAGATAATTCTTCAAATTCATCACTTTGTGGGAGGATACCTGTTTTCTTCCAACAGTTTGAGATAGTTTGAGAAGTTACCATTGACCATGCTTCAGCCGCATTCTGGAGAGCATCATAAATAGTATAATCTGCAAGTTCTTCCACAATACCATCCTGCATATCATCATATGCATTAATCTTATTTTGAAGAAAGAGACGTTTGTAATGGCACTTGAATGAATGAATTATTCCTGCATCACAAGGTTGAAGTTTAGTAGTAGTGTTTGGTGGAAGGAATTTTACATCTATACTATCCAACTTTTCTTGAGTTTCATCTAAAATAATATGTACTGGAGCGTTATCAACTAAAAAAACAATTTTTCAATTTTTTCTTCTCATTATTTCATTGAGTTTAAGGAGAATATCATTGAAAATGCTAACTTGCATCCATGCTTTTTTATTCCAAAAATAATGAACTGGAAGATTTTTATGATTAATATTTTTCATGACACGAGGTGTTTTGTATTTATGAATAAAGGTTAATGTCATTTTTTCACTACCAGTTGCATTTGTTGCACAAAATATTGTAACTCGGGATTTTTCTTTTTTATGGCCTGATAAAGAATTGCGTGCCAAAACTCTAGAAGGTTCCATCTTCCAGAATAGGCCAGTTTCATCGCCATTNCCCAGAGACCTGTCTCTTATACACATCTAGATGTGTATAAGAGACAGGATAAAGAATTGCGTGCCAAAACTCTAGAAGGTTCCATCTTCCAGAATAGGCCAGTTTCATCGCCATTCCAAATGTCTTCAGGATTATAAGTTGTAAGGAACTGCTGAAGAGCAAGACGATCTCTTTCTATTGATTCAGCAGAAGGTGCACTTTCAGCCTCACCCTGCTTTTTAAACTGACACAAACTATGCCGTTTTTTAAAGCCACCTAACCAACCCTCTGAATGATGAAAATCTTCTATAGAAAACTGTTCAGCAAAATAACTTGCCTTCATTTTTAAGATATTGCCATCAATATCTTGTTTAGTATTAAGTGCATTATCAACCCAAAGGCCGAGCGTGTCTTCAAGTTGAGGCCACTTTGGTCCACGAAATTTTTTAACATTCTCTTGACTTTCTGTAATTGTAAGCCAACGTTCACTCTCTTTCAAAATGTCAGTAATTGTTGACTTTCCAACGTTATATTTTTGCGCAAGTTCAACATTTTGAATGCACGGATCTCTTTCCTTCATTTCACAAATCTCGCGCTTTTGACCAGCGGAAAGGTTAACTCTCTTTCTTTTTGTTGACATTATCAGTATTTTTGAAAATTTATCCGAAACTAAACGGAAAAAAATTTTTCCGGTAAAACTGTACAACGCGACTAACGATAACGCGTTCATACTTTTATATTATTAATTAAAGTCACGTGACAGTTCGTTATACTAAATATGTAATTGATATACTTGGGCTGGTTACAATAAGTTCAGATGCGATATATGGTAATTTATTATGTGATTTCGTTACATCCAGTGTGATTAATTATAGAAAAATCGGTTCTGTGGGACTTGGTTCAGTACAAACAGTTTTCAGTACAAACAGTTTTCGGTACAAACAGGTTCGTTATAACCAGTGGCGACTGTACTTGGACAAAAAACAAGTACATTAAAAGTATATTTTAAAAGTATTTTAGATACATTTTAGGTATATTATAAATATATCGCGTATTAAAATTGATACTTATTTTAAGTATATTTTAATAAAATTTTAAGCATATTTTAAGTATAAAAACTTTTCATAGGGAAAATGAAAGAGCTGAAGAAACCTTATACGGGAAAGCAATTATATACAAACAACCTGTTAATGTTTTAATAGACTCAGGAGCTGTAGGCTGCATTATTTCTAAACGATTCCTAGAAAAAGTTAATAAAGAAATTGAGTTACCTATGAATATTAAAATCATTGATATAACAGAACAAAAATCTTTGCCACAAGGAAGATTCAACAAGTTTCAGTACAAATAAGAGATATCAAAGTCTATGTCAATATGATAGTCACAAATTCAGCTGAATGGTTAAAAAATGTTAATGCAAACATTGATTATGGGCAGAATACTATTACCATTAAATACAATGGAATCTAACAACAAATTCCTGTCACCTGTTCACAAAAATTGAACCTTACTAGATATACAGTTATTAATCCAGTCGAGTTAGAAAATACTATAGCAGTTCTATTTTATAAGGCAGAAATAACCAAAGATACTTTTCAAATTAATGATAAAGTTTATAAGCTGAAAATTTGTGCAGAAAATCTCAGCCAAGAAACTGCCCATGGGCGAAATCTGCCCATGATCACTCAGGGTATTAGAATATATTAAACAACAAAATCATAACAGCACTGGTGTAATTAACAATAAAGGGCCAGGAAAATGTTTATGTAAAACATTAGAAAATTAGAAAATTTGTGACAATTGTTGAATAGTTCAAGAGGATTGGGATATTTATCACATGATGCAAGAATCAGAAGTTCTAAATATATCTAATATTCAATTAGAAGCAGAAAAGGTTGTACCAATTGGAAAATTGGAGAAAACTCCAGAAAGGGAACATATTATTATCACTGAAGAAGTGCGAAACAAGGACTAATAGAACCTTCAACCAGCCTATGGTTATTTCCAGTGGTGGTAGTCACCCTATCAAAATATAAATATGACATTATATATCAGAAAGGAACTACATGCAAATACTGATATTCAAAAGAACTCAATCCAATATATTTATCAAAATAATACTTTATTTAGAAAAACAAAAGACGGTATAAGAAAAGTAATTCTATATAAACAAGTAGAACCTATTTTATATCATTTTCATACAGATATGAGCAGTGCTCATTTAGGAATAGATGCTATAATTGGAAAATCAAAGACCAATATTATTGGCCATACTTGTGATATTTGTCAAAGAAGAGGACCTATCAATCAGTGAGAAGAACTGATACCAATACTTAAAGATGGTGCCGCAAATAAGTAATTGCAGAATATTTGCGATATGTGATATTGCTGAATATTGCAGATTTTGAAGTCTATATATCTGCAATTCCGCAATTCGTATTTAGACGCAATTCCGCAATTTTTCTGCAATTCCACAAATGATCTGCAATTTCATAATTAATTGCGGAATTGCAGATTATTTGTGGAATTGACTAATAAAGAAACTGATTTCTTCTTATTACTAAAAGTAAAAAAAAATCAGTTTTTCATTAATAAAATTTTTTTAAAAAAATCATTTATTTTTTAGAAAAAACATACCAGCTGGTTAATTCGACAGTTATTAATATTAATAGTTAATGATCTGGATTAGATTATCAGATAGCATAGTACAAATTCTTATTGCGTTGCATAATTTTAAATTTTTTTTTTCATTTTAAAAAAACAAAAAAACAACACCATTTTTTTTTTGTAAATTCTGGCCTGGAACTTGGAATGGAGACTGGTGAGTATTTTAAGAGGAAGATGCGGAAGTTTTTATTTTTTTTATGTAAGAACATTTATTAACGTTCTTTTACTTCTTTTTTTGTAGATTCTGGCCTGGAACTTGTAAAAGGAGGGGAAGCAGTTTTTTTTGTTTTTTTTTATGTAATAACGTTTATTAACGTTCTTTTACTTCTTTTTTTTGTAGATTCTGGCCTGGAACTTAAAACTTGAGACTGGTGAGTATTTTAAAGGGGTGAGTGGGTTTTTTGGTTTTTTATGTAAGAACGTTTATTAACGTTCTTTTACTTCTTTTTTTTTGTA